TATGGGTTTAATTCCTTATAGTTAACCCCATGTTTCCCAATTTCAAATTCATCAAGAGACTAAAGAATATGAAAGCACATCTCCAGGCCTTCACATAAATCTGTTTGCCCAATACTCCTGGCCCAACCATAGCTGTAAGACCCCTCTCTTAAAATTCAGCAAGCTCAATTTGATCTGCAGCACCAGATTATTTTAGCCATGTCACAATTGAGACTTAAAAGTTTTATGTTAAATGTCTCTAGTAGATCATTGTTCAAGGTCATTGTTTCAAAGCCAATGGTGGTTCTTAAGTGAACTTGAACACGGTTCCATTTCTAGACTAAGTTCCAGCAATCTGCTTCAAATACTCTTGATTATAGCATGGGGTTGATAAACAGAGTTACAAGGAGCAACTAGCTTACTAAATTCTGGTTAGAAACAAGGCACAGTGGTAGGAACTACAGTCACTGAGAAAAATACAAGAGTCTGTAAAGCAGTGAAGCAATGACTTTGGGACTTGGAACCAGACCGACTTGGGTTCCAATTCCCCATTCTATAGTCTGCTAAATAGTGACTACGGGCAGGATCTTTAACCTCCCTGTGCCTTGGTTTCACAACCAGTAAACTGGAGGTAACAACAGTAACATGTCTTGGGGTTGTTGGGAGGGTGGATAAACCTGCACACACATTTAGCACTGAGTCTGCACTCAGGAAATGTTGGCGCTGGTTATTATATTCATTCTCAGTCTCAAGGATCTTACATACACTTACAAATGAAACTATTCAGAATGTAAGTGATACATATTACATGAGCAGCATTGGTCATGAAAGATGCAAAAGTTTAGAAGCATGAGGCACCCCTTCACCTAAGGATGGTAAAAGGTCTCATGGGAGAGGGAGACTGAAGCAGATGGGGCCATGCAGGATGTGGATACAAACAGGACCCCTGAGATGGGCACCTACTATTTGGCAAACACTGTGGGGCACTTTGTATGTAATCTCCACAAGCTAAAGACCTTTAAAATGCCCATCTTATAGATGAGAAGCTGTTTCACTGATGATAGCTGAGACTCACAGAAGTTTAGTAATTTCCCTGAGTCACCCAACTGGTGGCAGATGTAGGTTCAAACTCAGGTCTCTCTGACACCAAAGCCCAGCACAATGCAATTGGGGAAGAGGGGGTGCAGGGGGAGAAGGGTGAAATAAATCATTCCAGTATGAAGTAAGAAAGAACAGAGTGATCTTATTATATGGCAAGTGGGAAGCAAACAACTTATGATTTTTTAAAGAAAAGAAAAAGAAGGGTAGAAAGGTTGGTTAGGGCCAGAAAGAATGGAAAGCTAAGGTGTTTGAGCTTCAGCCTGTGGGCAATGAGGAATCATTGTTTTGCTTTTGATATATGTGTGTGCTTTTAATTAAATATTACTACTACCACTACTAAGAACATTTATTGAGCATCAAAAAAGGCCCAGGCTCCACGCTAAACATTTGCATACATTATTTCTAATAGTTACAATTCTGCAGTTTAGGTACTGTTACCCCCAGTTCACAAATAAACAAGGCCCTGAGAGGTCAAGCCACTCACCAAAGGTGCCTTCAGTAAATGGCAGAATGGGGTTCATACTGAGTATTATGTGAGGTCAAAGTCAGTGCCCTTTCCCCTGAAACAGTATTGCAGGAAAACCTCCCTTTAACAGAGCTGAAAAATGAGAGAAAGGAAAATGGAGCCAGGACGTAGTCAGAAGCAATACAGGGATCCGGAGTAAGGAGATGAATGCCACAGCTAAGTCACAGTGAAAACGGAAGGGCGGTGACAAGAGAGCAAGTGTGTTCATGACCTTTTCTTTTATTTACTCTATTTCTCTGTCATGCTCTGCTACCTGAAGGAGAAACCAAGTTAGCAATTATTCCAACCTCGGTGACTGTCCTGGCCTTCAAACCCTGATGTGAGTCCTGTTGTTCACTCAACAGCAAACACTGCTTTAAGTATTTCCTTGTTGTGTTGCAATGTTATCAGGGCTAAAATACGGCATCATCCTTGAATCTGTTATCTGTGTTGAAGGGTCATCATTCAAGAAGAGAAAATTAAGTCTCTGCATCCAATAAATCATTTTGCTTCACATATCAACATTTTTTTAATACCTGACTTAAACACGTAGTCTGTCAAATCAAGAGGACACATATGCTGAGCTCTAATGAGCTCTGCCTAATCCTACATTATTATTAAGGTCCATCCTGATTCAGAGACCACATGGTTTTATAAAATGGAGTATGGTTTCAATACTTGTTGGGCTGCTTTCTTGTTAATATTCTAGGGAAAGTAGCACAACAAATAAAGCAGGAGGAAATGTATGCATCGTGAATATGCCTTTCAAACGAACACAAAAGCTAACTGGATGATTACTTCCATTATCTCATTTGATGGATTCAAAGGTTAGAAGTTTTATATGCATGTAATGATTCCCAAAAAAACAAAACACTTTTGCACTAAAACCTTCGCTAGAGTCCTTCTCTTTTAATGATAAACTTCAACATTTTAAGTGAAAAATCAGTAATCTAAAACTGGGATACACAGAAATGACTTGAAATTCATAAAGATAAAAGAGTACAATTTTCCTATCCATATACAGAGTTAATACATAAATATTCCCAACATTTTGCAACATGAATTTCAAACATTTACCATGTTTCTGGGATTCAAATTATGAAAGAAATGGCACTTAAGAGTCCCACATACTAAGAATAAAAACAAATATGGTTTGTGCACTGCCTTTACCAGGAAAAATATTTACAAAATAAGATCAAAATAACAGTATAAACATTCTAATTTTACAGCTCTTAATTACACAATGATCTGTAGTTTGTATTTTTTAATCTGTTGGACTAATTTATTCCTATGTGCAAAGACATACATGGATATTAAATAACTCTGCTCACTTATACATTCTCAAACCCAACCAAATATGGAAAATTTAGCAATGAAGTCCTTTCTCCGAAGGCAGGCTTACTACTATGTCACCAATCAGTATAAACACATAACAATATTAATAAATAGACCAGAAGCTAAATTGTCTTTTTTTTTTCTTTTCTAGTGAGGTTCCCTGCAAATCCAGTTATACAAATAACTTCACCTTTTCTTCAAATCTGAGTGTTTTTTAAGCCAGATATCATCACATCCCTACTAGCCCAGCTGCCAGTCATAACAGCAGTTTACTGCAACTCCACCCTCTTCCCACCTTCAGTTCCAATAGTGCATGGAATTTTTTTCCTATTAGAGAAAAAATTAAGATTAAGAGTTCAAATCCTCAAAGTAGGTAAGTGAACTGTCACAGAAACATTACTTAACCCCAGGGAATTTTCTGTTTAATTGCCATTCTCTCCCTTCCCCCAAAGGACTACATCTTATTTTGATGGTGTAATGGAAAGCACTGCATTAAGAAAGAGCAAAAACATAGTGGGTTTAAATTTTTAAATATATAACCTTTTCACAACTCACTGTTAATTACTTTAATAATCAGCCTGGCAATCAGAGGAGCAAAACCTGCAGGACAGACAGAACCAGGTAAGGATGCTTCCATCACAGCCATTGCCATATCAGGGATAGAAGAACTATTTTGTCATACGTGACATGAAGAAAGTTTTACATGTCAGTTCCACCAAATCTTGAGAACAGTAGAGCTCCTAGCACTCAAAATCTTCATCTTCAAAAAGTCAAGATTTTAAAAAAACTATGTCTCACTGTATCTGCAAGTATTAAGTTTTTACTAAATTTTTCAACTTTAGGCTTCAGGAAGAAAAAGGCTCTGGAATAAGCACAATACTCCAAGGGGGGTGGGGGTGGGGAACTAGTCTTTTAAATCACTTTCCCCAGGGAGAAATTAAGGCCATTAACATTATACCACTTAACTATTTATTTCATTATGAAAGGCAAACTTAGAGCCCAAGTGGCAATATTCTGAAAATGTGATAGAAGTTGTTCTACACCAGTGAACACACAGTGTGGAAGATACAAATATGGTCTCTGTCAACTGTAGTCCATCTTCAGCAAATTATTTTCTCTGTGGGCTGAGGCTCCCATATCATGGACCTCTTCCTTAACTGCGGAAGGCTCAAAGGAATTGCCTGTGAAGAGGCCCTGGACCACACCTTGCTTGATCACACAAGAAGCTAACAGGGGCTGGAGAAAAATGCATCTGGTCCAAAGATAAGAGGACAAGGCTAAGAATCAAAATACGCCCCTCTACAATTTAATAGGGAGGACCCCTAAAACGGCTTGCATCCAATGGTGTTCTAGTCAGCCCTGGGCATCGGCTGTCAGATGTTGGTCATTCTGTGGGTTGCCTGGTAGGGTTTTGTGGTCCAGCAGCTGCCAGTCTTTTATAACCTCAGCAATGTTGTGGAAGCGTCCATTTAGTGTATAAATAAGCTTTTTGGCATTAAAACATTGCCAAGTGAAAATATTAGAGAACAAACTCCCCACCCACTGCAGAAGAAATTTCCCAGTTTCAAAGCAACTGGGATTAAGATTCCAAATTACCTGTAGCAAAATTTTCTTTTAGTGGGTTTCCCCCCCACCACCACCACCCCCAATCCTCTTGCTTGCTGAGGAAGCTACTGTGAAGCCTCCCAAAGACGTAACCCGCAGTTCCGATTACTGGTCCTACATTTACCTAGTTAGGGAAGGAAGAAGTGTTTGATAGTTACCCAGGATCCTTCCACTTGTAGCAGGAATAAAACACCAAAAAAGCATTAGGACATTCAACTCCTTAGAGATTCAAAAGCCTTCGGGAGGAATACGGAGAATCTGTCCCTCCCCACCTGCACCCCAACCCTGTTTCTGCCCTAGCTTTAGAATCAGCAGCCCTTGTGTATTCCCTGCGGTTCCACAGTGCATTCTTTATTCCATGGGGCTCTCCCACACCTGACCCCAGGAAAGCTTGGCTGGTCATCCTTTTCCTCCCCCACCTCCCTTCCAGCCTCCACACTCGGCCCCTCCCCACCGCCCCAGGCCACTTCCTTACCTGATAATGTCGTCGTTGTGTCCCAAGAAGAATTTTTGGCTGTGCTCGCGGGTGTTGTAAACCACCCCGACCCCAGCCACAAAGTAGACCACCTCCTTGCCGGCCGTGTAGTACAGGTTGTTGCGGCACTGGTGACCCCGGTACCCGTACACCCACTCCAGCCGGAGCTGGCAGCCGGGAGCTGTCCGATCCGCCATGATAAGCCGACCCCACTCGCCCCCCGTCCCCCCCACCCCGCGCGCGGGTCCGCTGCCGCTTCGCACCGGGTCTGTCCTCGCCAAGGCTCGGGCTGCGGAGGACCTGCAAGGGCTCAGTGTGCAGCACCGGGCGCTGATTTCCGCGGCGATGCCGCCGCCACCATCATCCGCCGCCGCCGCCGCCGCCGCCGCCGCGGGAGACCAGCCGCCAGCGCGCGGCCGCCAGACCCCGCCGGGTGCCCCGGCTCCCTCTCCCCGGGCGAGGCGTCTTCTGGGGTGCCAGCACCCGCACGCACGCCTCACTGCACCTGCGGGCTTCGGCCCCCGGGAGAGGTTCTTGTGGGGGTCACCCCGCCTTTTAAATCAGGGATCTGCATTTCCGACACTGATTACCCAGTTCGCTCACTGAAGTTTGGCCGTGCGCGGGGGCTTCGCAGCAGGCAGCGAGATTTATGCTGTGACAGCTTTGATATGACAGGGAACCCGGCTAAGCTTTGCCATCACCATCCTTGGATCCGAAACTGACAGTCTATATCCAGGATGCAAGAGCGAGGAAGAAAAGAAACAGATTTTTTGCATAAGTCACCCCAGTCCAAGAAAATGATCCCCAAACTAAACCAAGTTTTGTTTCCTTTTTTTTTTTTTCAGTTGTCAACTACTCCCCTTTACTACCTCCAGACCCACCTCCTTAAAGGATATGAAATGTGTCCTACATGCTGCTGACTGGTGTTTGCTGATAAGATTTGAAAGAACATTCGCTGTTTTCCCCATTAAGCCAGGATGAATATGCAATGGTCATTTTTTAGATGCTCCAATTAGTTGTCGTGTATGTGTTTAAGGTTTGTATCTTCCATGAACCCAATCTTGGCTGAGAAAACCATAAAGAACTTAGCAGTTCTTACTAATCACCAACTCCAATTGCAAGCGTCATAGACGATTTTTCTGAATCGGAGGAAATAAGACACTAGTGCAGTTGGAGGCAGGAAAGCGTTACCTACAGACGCTCCTGGTCAAGAAGAAATTATAAATAATTAACAAGTGGCAAAAATCGTGTACCTCTCCTTAGGCAGGTCTGCGCTAGCTATTGGGTCCCGCAAGCTCAAGGGTCTCGCCTCTAAGCTTGCGGTGGGGCAGGGACATCAGCAGAACCACTGAGGACCACGAGTCCCTCCACCACACACACACACACACACACACACACACACACACACACACACCGACTGCCGCGGGTCCGTGGGATGCCGGCCCCCAGGGACACCCCGGCCAGTGCTCACTGCCACGGTGGCGGTGCCCTGGACACCCGATCCCGCCTCGCCCGTGGAATATCCCCACTCTCTCTGTCTCTAACCTCTCTGCTCCGAGTGGGAGCCGCCAGCACGTCCCAGGTCTCTCCAGGGTGAGCAAAATCCTCTGCCTGCCTTCCCCTCCCCGCCTCCCGCACCCGAAGATAGGCTTCGTCACTGGGGTGCGCAGAGACAGGTTCTTCTTCCAGCCCGGGCTCAGGGGGCGGGGCCACAACGCAGCTTTCGGGAACCGGCGGGTGGTTACTAGGCGAGATCACTCACTGCACTTAGAAACGGCTACGCCCCAGGGCTCTGGGGGACGCCCCCTCCCTCTCCCGGCTTAGGTTGCCCCTTGCCCCGATGTATCCTGGGAAGTGTAGTCCTCTAAACGCCAGCTCAGGTGGGGAGCAGGCAGAGCCAGTCCACAAGTCCCAGGATTCCGCACTCCCAGAAGGGGCCGCCGAGCGGCAGTTACTAGCATCTGCGGTGCCTGCAGTTCTCCTGCTGAGCAGAAGGCGGCGCACCCGGGGCGACTTCTTGCCAGCGCCCTTCTTTCCCTAGTGACCGAGGCCACAGGCCAGCCTGAGTGTGTATTTATGGAGATGAGCAATGGATTTGCCCACCTAGAGGATTTCTTCGGCATAAGTCTGTAGCCGACTCAAGTCCAAATCTGTTTCATATTTCAGTTTTCCTTTTTATTCAGATGGATATTAATCTGTTAAAGTGCAGGTGTGACAAGTTTAAGAAAAATGTTGAGGATTTGATCTCACTTTGCCCCATCTAAAAACCAGTGCCAGGGCCGGCTGAGTGGTGCATTGGTTAAGAGCTGGCTTGGGACGCTAAAGGGCCCCAGTTCGGATCCCACATATGAGGGCCAGTGACACTGCCCTCTATAGCTAAGATGCTGAACAACAGCTCAACCTGGAGCTGGGCTGCCGAGAGTCGCTGGCCGTTGGCTAGACTGCAGCCCCTGTGGCAGTGGGTTGCCATGGGCTACCATGTGTAGCCAGCAGCCAGCGTGAGCAGCCAGCAGCCACCCTAAGCTGTGGTCCTGAAGCTGGCGATTGATCTGCCTCCCCCCGGAAGAGCGCAATGATGGTGCCAACTTGAGCCAGTGAAGCAATGTCCTCCACAACTAGACTGAAGAACAAAAAAAGGACAGCAACTTGTCTGTTCCCCTTCCCCCAATTCCCCAGTGCTGTTCCCATCCCCCAATTCGCCAATTAAAAAAAAAAAAGAATTAATTTGTAAAGCTTTACATAAATGTTAATTATTACCAAATGGCAGTATATATTAACTTCTATTTGAAGAAAGTGTGAAATAAAGGTTGATAATACCCTTTGGAAATAAGAAATCTAGACAAGCAAGAGTAAAACTCATAACAATATGTTAATATGGTAAATAACACTATGTTCCAGGCACTGTACATGGTGCTTTACATGTATTAAATAATAGGTTCTTTATCGCAGTTATAATCCTATGAAGTAGGTACTATTATTTCCTCATCTCATAGATGAGGATACTAAAGCAAAGAAAGTTTAAGTAACTTCCCAAGGATACACAATAGTAGTGACAAAGACTACATTTGAATTTGGGCAGTCTAGCTGCAGTCTATTCAAAACCACTAAGAATTATGAAAGAAATTGGTTAGATGACAGGGTAAGTTCACCTGTGAATGATAAACCCAAAATAGCAGTGACTTAGACTCGATAAAATGTTATTTTTTACAAAACTCTGAAGGTAGTACAGGCCTAGTATGATGGTTCTGCTTAAAGGAATCCTTGAGTACTCAGACTACTGCCAGTATGCCAACATTTTGCTCTGCTGTCCCTAGATGCCATGGTTCAAGGTGGAATGCCAACCTTTATTTGCACATTCCAAGTGCATTTCATAGAAGAGACACAAGGTTTAAAAACAAGGTTCTGGAAAGCTACCCGCTACTCTTTTCTGTTTATGTTCTATTGGTTTGAACTTAGTTACTGGCCGTACCTAGCTGCAAAGAAATCTAGGAAGTCGTCTTTATTCTGGGCAACCATGTTAAAGTAGGAGATTCTTACTATGGGAGAAAGAGAAAGAACATTTTATCTCTTTTAATCCTCTCAACAGCCCCATCAGTAGATATCTCCATTTTTAATGTGAGGACACTGAAACCCAGAGAGAAAAAGTAATGTAATCAAGATTACACAATAAATGGCAAAACCAGAACTCAAACTCAGGTCCGTCCAACTACAGAACTAGTATTATTAACCACTACTTCTATACCTTCCAAACCAAGCCATAAATCTATCATTAAACAATTAATGAGAAGACACAGCAAAGTAAAGCATAATTATATAATTTTTCTCCTCAAGTTTATTAGACAATGAGGCGGGGGGAAATGGTCTCAAGAAACAGTAGTTAAGGACATAAGGTAAGTTGAACACATGAAAATTCGCACTAAAATACTTCAATTGATAAAAGTAAAGTGAAAGGGTAAATATACAGTTTTGGGGTAGGAGAAAAGGTAGTTTGAGAGAAGATACTCTGTATAACCTTGGTTCTTCAGCGGAAATAGAAAGTTTCACCAAAACCTGCCATTATCAGAGCACTGTGCAGAACCAAGGGAATAGCCAAAATATTATACATAGGGGTGAGATACACTTTTGGCTGCATGGAATGGGCTCTGGAACTATGTATTTCATAGGACCTCAAGAAAGAGAAAAGGCCTGTCCCCTAGCAGAGGCTATACTCAGTCCCACTAGGTCTCACCCTTCTCCCTACTCTACCCTTTTCCAATGTTAGGCTATATAAAAGTAGATAAAAAGCAATGCCCAGCCATCAAATTGCTGCTCTGAGAAGATCAACTCATTCCCAGTCATACATAATGTATCAGAATAAATGACTTGGAAAGAGCTGCCCCATCAAACATAAGGAACAAGAAAAATAAGGGCATAGCAAAAGCAAACCAAAGTTCTGAAAGAAAGGTACATTATATGCAGAAGATAGACAAAGAAACCCATCTGGAAGAAAATTTATGTCAAAGAAGCAGACTGTCTACCAAAGAACTTAGTTACAATATGAATTCAAAATATCAAGAACTTAAAGCTAAAAATAAAATCCAAGCTAAAGAAATAATCAAATATAAACAGTTTCAGATCTAATGAATACTTTTGAAACAATAGAAAAATACTGGAAAATAAAATTACCAGTATGGAGGAAATACTGGAAATGATCACAAGAAATGAGAGGAAAAAGACAAGATTAAAATAATTAGAGATATGCGTGAGAGAGCAAAACTGACCCAACATCCAGATCACTGGTTGTCCTACATTAGAGAAGCCAACAAAGGAAGCAGGAAAAAATATTCAGAAATAAAATAGAGGAATATATTAAAGAACTCAATCTGCAGATTAAAGGGGTACACTATATTCCAGAAAAAAGATGATATATCATAGCCTCCATAGACGTACATCCTAGCAAAATCAACTTCAAGAATAAATATTTCAAAATCATTTGCCAACTTTAGAGAGGGCTATTACACCATCTCTGCCAGCTTGTAATTAAAGGGAAACATTTAAGCATTTACTCTGTCTTCTTGGAGGAACTGAAGTTTATCCTCAGTTGATAAAGGAAAGCTATTTACCTAAGAACGCTAGCCAACAAATGGAGGGTGGGTGTGGAAAGCAGGCTGGCATCAGCCTTCTGCACTGCAGTCTCCAATGCCAGAAAAAATGGAGCAGTATCTA